GGTACTGCTGCCTGTCCCACTTCCCGACCAACTAGACGAATGGCGTTCAGGAGATAGGATCTACAGGGGGAGCATTTGCTCCTTAACAGCCAGGGGGAGTATTCATCTGTGTTCGTATGAGAAACCCCGAAAGATGATCCATCGTTGCCTTGTTTTCTACGGAACTATTTTGGGGCATCACTGTCAGGATTACTGTTTGATCCAGCACGTAGAACTGTATAGCACGGATGACAAATAAGTAACGTATTACCGGTCCTTAGAATTGCCAGATTTAACATACATAGAATAGTCAAAAATACTAGCCGAGGTCAGGGAACACAGAAAGGGACGAAGCAATGAGGAAAGCCAGGAGTCAGGATACCAGAATGTAGAGAAGTAAATAAACAAAGCCAAAGTCAAAAACCAGGTAGAAAACTAATAACAGAAACGCGCTCTCGGACAACCACAAGGGAAACCACGACAGGGCACTGAGCCAGATGAGAACTGGGCCTAAATACCCCTCCTTTACTTCTGATAGGCTGTAACCGGCCTTTGACCCCAAAGTCAGTTACCAGGTTTCATTTGCATAATTGCTGCTCAGCATTAACCCTTCTGTGGATTAGGTTGCTGCTCGGCACAACTTTTCCTGTGTAGACAGTAAATGTCATTAACCACATTTCTATAAGCGGATGAATATGTGACACCAGGTTTCATTTGCATAATTGCTGCTCAGCATTAACACTTGTGTGAATTAGGTTGCCGCTCGGCACAACTTTTCCTGTGTGGACAGTAAATGTCATTAACCACATTTCTATAAGCAGATGAATACGTGACAATCACCTTGTGGCTGACCAGTCAAAACTTTTGAATGGCGTTCCCGAAACCACCGAAGGGATCTAAATGTTAACCCTTAAAAAAACATGTAATATAAAATATATAAATAACCCTTAGTGTTAACCCTTAAAAAAACATGTAATATAAAATACATAAATATAACGGTGAAGTATGTGTTACGGGAAAATAATGACATTTAGGGCACAGTGAAGACGTTTATTATATCTCTAGAACCCATCAACTACTTTGACCTGTAATACACAGTTAACCTTTATATATCATGTTTCTTGCCCTATCATCTATCTATCTATTATTATTATTGGTATTTATTATATTATAAATACAGTATTATAAAAGGGATACATTTAACAATAAATTATACAATTACAAAATGTTATAGGAACAATGGGTTGATTAGGACCCTGTTTTACGAAGATTAGAGTCTAGAGGACTATCTATTTAGCTATCTACTTCTCTATCTATTTTACTAGTTCTCTTTATACATATGCATTATATGTGGGTAGCAGATATCTATATAGGTGTATACATTTACACACAAATTAATTTACAAAAACAAATCTAATTCCACAGACAGCGAGAATATAATAGGACTGCACAAGATCAAATAACAGATAGCTGAGAATCTTTGTCTACCTCCAGTTTGTTCCTTTGATTAGAATGGAGGCTCCCGTCAGTGACAGGCGGTGGTGTCCTGTGACATTTTAATGACCTGCAGATCATGGTGTCATTCAATATTTTGGAAATATGAACATTGATCTGCCCACAGGTGTCTGTCTTTGTGAATATTAAATCCAGCGTTCCATTCATGGTGATAGTCTAGTTACATTAATATGAAAAGGACGTCTTTATTGATACCACCTATATATATACTTTATTATTTGGGAATAATGAAAGTGTGGTTAAAGATCTCATTCTAAATTTGTTTAACAGGTTTTTCTTTTGATGTTAAATAAGGAAAGAATGGACCCAACATAAATGATTTCTCTTATGGTGGATACAAGAGAAGTCAGTTAACACTGTAACCATGATGCAGTCTCTCACACAATCCCATCTGTCTTTTGAAGCCGTCAGTTCATGATAACTAGGACATTGACTGGTTTTATCTGAGGATTTAAGTGCTGCTTAAAAAAAAAAAATGTTTGCATTATTATGTATAGGTCAAGATAGATCCATAGAAGAAATGTATTCTGAGAACATTCTCAGACAAGAGTTTGTGATCAGTACTGAACAGGAACCTCCTTGAAGGACCCACATCTTACTGGTTTGTGCAAAGATGTAGATTATTCCAAACTGTGTGTTCAAATTAGCTTTAGTTAAAACAGGTGAAACATGATTTGGATAAACTGGATTGCTATAATACCCCACCTGACCTATGTCATTCATTAGGATTAGAGGGGCATTAGGAAGGAGGATAAATGCTAAATAGAATATTGATAATTATATAATGTAATACTTGTTGTAGTATTTGGAGATGGGGAGGACTAGTAAAAGATTTACAGAAAGTGAAATATTATAGTATATCTGTTAATGGATATTTAATTATAAAGTTGTACATCACATTGTAAATATATGTGTTGGAGATAGATAGATTTTATATGATTTAAATTTAAACATATATATTTTGAAATAAGACAGCTGATTGGCAAAGGTCATGAATAACAAATAGTGTATACAGCAATGATAATAAGTAGATACAAATGTTACATGAGATGGTTTTTAATAAAATGTAATGTCAGATATTTTTAGCCTTTGCACTGCTGATCCTTTCTTACCCTCCATTCTGCTATTTTTCTGGAAAAAAGCTGCCAATCTCTATTATATCGTATTGAATAGGCATTATAGTGATAAATATGATGATATATGTTCCTGATTAATGAAATTATTATGAACAACGAATGAAAGCCCCTGTTAACCCCAGACCCTTTAACCCCTGACACTGTATAATCATCTGCCAATACTGATCTGCAGAAACTAGCTTTGCAGCCTTCCCTCGCCCAACGAGCGTACACTCACTCAGCTAAAACAACAGGTTTCACTTACAAACCCACATTTGGAAGAAACAGATATTACAGACTTGTATTTTGGTTACAGCGTGTAAGGGGTAGAGAAATGAGCAAATGAGTTATCCATTGGCGCTGAAAGGGTCTATAAGGCTATGGTTATGTCTGCAAGAGGGGTCAGGAAATTGTGAAAAAGATAATCGGTTAAAGTAAACTTGAGGTTGGTTACTGTTGTAAATAAATGTGTCTTGTTTACCCTTTGTACTGCGCTGCAGAATATGTTGGCGAGATATAAATAATTGTAATTGAAAACTGCAAGTCGCAACTTAATAAAACGATTCTAACAAATTGATGCGATTAGGGTTAAAGATTACATGTTTTTTTCTACATTTTTGTTTTTCAGATTAGGATATTGTGTGTTGTGCAAACTTTAACATTTCTTAATGCAGTTCTTTCTATTCTGTTAATGCCAACTAGCCAATAAATATACTTTTTATCCAATAGTGTTCTATGCATCATATATAGAATTAAATATGGTGAAATCCTCACAATTGCCCAAGCTAGAGAAACATTCCTCTGGTTTCCATGGTGATTGCATCACACTTCGAACTATTCCTTACAATTGTTGCAGTTATTGTTGTTGTTGCTTTATATAAACATATCCCCTTTTGTATCTTAAACTCGAAATGTACCAGAAAAGAGGAAAAATAAAAAAAAGATCTATTAGGTAGCAGTGTGTGTTATGTCTTATCCTAACAATAACTCCCAAATAAATATAAATAAATAAATAAAATAACTAAAGGATGGCCTGTTTTGGTCCCAAGAGTCCTGCCTATAATCAGTTTTGTCCCTCAGTCACGTGTTGTCTAAATGCTCTTGAAATGAACAGCTGTAATTGAAAAAGCAACAAGCTGTATAGTTTATAGAAATAGGTGCAAAGTAAGGCTGGCTATCTAATTTTCTTCCAATTGCAGGGCAGGCTCGTATTGTCTGTTCTGTGGAGCTAATTTCTTTTTGATCAAAAGACCCACATCATTGAAAGATAGTAATGACTATTCATTTCACTTTGCTCGAAAACCTCCTTTCTTGTGTCCAGCTTGCTTTATTTAGTAACTGTTATTTCTTTCCAAAGGAAAAGCTCATTTGAGGTTTTATGATGTCAATTAACATGGAATATAATTTCATTATGCATCCTGTAAAGCCCTTTTGGGAAAACTAATTTGCTGGCCCTTGGATATTATGATTAACTCTATAAGGACATGTAATGTGAAATTGGGTTTGTGATGTTCTGGAGAGGAGAATGTGTTATTTTCATACATTAATACTAATGAAGGTGCTATTCAAAACTAATTAAAGACTTGCATGCAACAAATAAGAGTCTTATCTGTTACACAGTAATTAGGGGGAAAAAACTAAATGTTTTGCATTTGGTTATTACAAGAAATGTAATTTAAATTCATTGTATATTTATACAAGCAAGTTTTCATCAATCCAAAGTACACATGAAAACCTAATTATTTTAGGATATATATATATATATATATATATATATATATATATATTAGTCTATATAAATAAATGTATAGTTTAGTAGTTTACAGGCTACATTTTAAGAGATAATTGAACACAGCTATAGAAATGTAAGTTTATACACACTTGATATTAAATTAATCAACTTTCAGTGTTTACAGATGGGATTTTAGAATTCAACATGGAATGGTTTGAAAAATGTTATGTGAAAACACTGGATATATCAAATTTTTTAAATTTTTTTTTTTTTTTAATACTGAGATCTTGGTAAAAAAATAATGTAGTTATATGCCCATATATAGTCAGAGGCTGCTCTGTGTGTTGATTCTGAATTAATTTTGAAGAGAGAAATATTATTGTAAACTTTAATTTAAAAGGGGATTCATTGTGGGAACGTTGTGTATGTTTGTGTACATATACATTTTATATATTTGTGTGTTTTGTTCCTATAGAATTAATATTCCTTTTGTGATTTTTCTGCACAGGTTATCAAAGATTTGGAAAAGTAGTGTTTATGACAGTTTTGCATTTTTAAAAACTAGTCTCCTTGGTGTTTCCAAAGATGTCCATCTGCAGGTAGATAGAAAAGGCAGCTTTTGTGAGACTGAAGGACACTTAGCCTATGTTTGCTAATTATTGAAGCATATGTCTGCTATTCATAATAACCTTGATAACCTTGAGAAAATGTTCCCTTTAATTGCTAATGTCTATATGACATTGCTGGGGACATCCAGGCCCTACTTAGAGCACCCTGCCTTGGTTGGATACCCAGTACTGGTGGTCTCTTTCTCTTTTTTTTTTTTAACAACACTGATAATTAGCAGCTTGTTAAAAAAAAAGGAAAAAAAAAAACCTTATTAACTGGCAGCTATGGTTCTACTATACCCCCCTACTGCTCCCCCTATTACTGGGAAGGGATTACCAGAGGATCAGTATGTCTAAACCCAATAAACAAATTCCAGGACAACACCTGAATGACAAACGCCAAGGGACCTACTAATTAAGAAATTTGGCCAGTAGTGATGTTTTGCAATAATGAGAACAATCTTTGCTTTCCAAAAAGCTATTGAGAGGCACTGTAAGGGGTCTGTGGGTATGGTGAGAATTTGTGGTAATCTGCCAGAAAACCCTCATTTTAATTTAGTTAAGGGGGGAGAACTGCAAGAAAATGCAAAAATTGCAAGTCTATGTTGTAATGAGTTTGTGTCATTTTGCCTACAATCGTTTCTGATTTTTCCTGGCATATAAATAATATTAAAGTCAAATGACAATGTGTTAATGTAGAAGCAAAATATATAGATACAAAGTATTAAAAAAAAAATCATTGCAATTAAAATGAACAGGCAGTGAAACATTTGGAATAATGTCATAATATGTAGATTTATTCTCCTGTTAGATTACCTTAACTGAAACAAATATATTTAGTTCAGAAATTTTAAGAATTGAAAATTGCGAATTTATTTGCATGTTTATTTTTTTTAATTAGAGCATAATAATTCCAGTAGCATTGTTGTAATAATATTTGCAAATTGCATCTTCACGTATGAATATTGTCTTTTGTTTGACTCTTTGTATTGTATACAAATAATTAAACACAATATAATAAATGATTTGCATTGCATTAAGATGTTTCTCATGTCCTTAAATATATAAAAATTGTATACATTTATATGTGTGTTGTGTCTGTACATCAAATTCTTTACTGTATGTGCATTAGCCATTTCTGTATGCATTAAAGTCATTTGTGTACAAATCTCCAGTGCTTGTGATAATTTACAATATTTTAAAAGATGGTGTGTTTTTGTTTTGTTTTCGGTTGTTTTTTTTTGGGGGGGGAGGGGGGTGATGGAGGAAATAGAACAGACAGGCTCCTGACTAACTAAAAAACTTGATATTGAGTTGAAGGGATTTTTACCCAATATTAGATACATTGCTATTAAATTTGAATATTTTTTTTCTCTCGAATATTTTGTTTCCTATGTTTGTTTTTAAATCGAATATGCTCCATTAGTGTAAAACTGTCAATCTTTCAGCTGTTACAAAACACGACTTGCATGGCATGTATTGTAAAATAAATTTAATCGATATGACATTTATACTTTCACAGTTTAGTTTGACTTTTAATACAGTTTAACAGTAAAAATCCACGTTGTGTTTAATTTTATCATACAATCCCTGGACAGATATTTTAGTTACATTTACAGTTTACATGCGTTGTGTAATACAGAAGTAGCATTTTCTTTTCAAATGATACTTTCTCTATATTATTCGTATCTTGCTCACTCTATGGTGCAGTTTAGATTACGGTCGATAGGAGGCGGTATTGCAACACTGAGAATTACATAGCGGTTTCCAATTCCATATAGCGGTATAACCCCATTCTCTGATTCTAATCGGTTGATTACTGTTGTTTTTTTCTTGTCTATAAGTAAGATATTGTTGCACAGATTTAAATAACAGGAATATCCAACAAGTTGTATCAGAATATGGGAAGATATGTATCTGAATTGGACACATTAAGTGAGTACTTTCTATGTCTATTTAGAATTAGTGGTGGTAGTGGTGGGGAGTTCTTCTATTTTTTTTATAAAACATATTTATATTTGACAGATCTTTTTTTCTGCGAGGGCTGTTAAATGTGATGCTAGTCCGTTGTCAAATTAACACATATAAAAAGAATGTATTAATTAAACAGTGAATTGATTTGAATTCAAAAATCAAAATGTAGTCAAATATAAGTGATAGGGGAAACATTCTCAGCATTTGTCCCATTTCGGCTAGTCTAGTCTAATTTTATTCTTGCCTTGATTTTCAATGCTTAGTGCATAAACCCTGAACGTGTTGTGTTACTGCTCTGGTACTCAATGGGTTAACTTGGGTGTTTAAATCATCTGTAATGTCCAAGGGGACGGATCAAAAGAATAAATATATATCTCTATTACTTTTGCACTAATTACTTCAATTTGCGCACCAATAGCATATTCATTTTTTATCCATTTTCTAACATTGGGATAAGGCAGTTATTTTGGGGGTTGTTTTTTTTTTCCTATCGCTACCTCTGCACAAATGTTACCCATGAGAAATTACCCTGGTTAATTAATTAATTAATCAATGCATCTGCTATTATTTATTAAAAAAAAAAAATAACAGCCCAGTTTAAAAAAAAAATGTCTAAATGTATTGATGTGTTTAATTTACTCTGCAGATAACTGCATTATGACACGAAAATAACTTATTTTAACTGGACACTGTTAATTAATTACAATGAGCACAGCATATTAATGAAATAAGAAGAGATACATTTCATTTAAAATCCTATATCTCTTATTTCCAGATTCCCTGTGCCTTATCCAATGGTTTCCCTGCTTTTAATTTTACTGATCTGTGACTTGGTACCTACATCTTGCAAGTCAATGGTAAACACCTTCTGTCTCTTTAAATGGGTTAAAATAGAAATAAAGACTCTTTTTTTTTTTATTTGCATTATTATCATTTTCTTTTTAACAAGGTACTTGTCAATGGTTGACCAGCTTTTTCACATTTGCAATGATCTTTACCTTTTTCAATGTAATACTGTCCAGTAAATATAATTTGCTTATTTTCCAGATAAGGCATGGTCACCGTTAAAAAAAAAGCCTTAATCCCCCAGGGACCTGGATGTTTGAAAACCAGAAAAATGAACCATTTAGTGGATTCCCGCTCAAACAAATTCATAAGTGACTGGGCAATCCGAATAAAACGCTTTATATTGTTCCTTCGAATTAATTTAAATAAATAAAAATATGTGTGTATATATATATAGATATATATTTATATATAATTCTAATTAATAGACCGGGAACAGGCACACTTATATGATTTTAGAATAAATATTTGTTAAAATAGGTTGGCAAGTTTCTGAGAACAACAAAAAAAAAAAACACTATTTTTTTTTTTTCTCATCAACATACCTTCCTGAGATAAGGATGGACCCTTATCTGATAAAAGCTTAAAATTAAAGAATTAAATTAATTAATAGCCTAATTCATAAGCAGGACCCAAATTTTTGGTTCTAAGTGTCCTCTTTGAATCTGTCATTCACTTTCTCCAATTACAAGAAGATGTATTATTACATGATTAGCTAATTTTATTATTGGGGAAGTGTTAATTTGTGTTTTCTGAAGTGTAAAGCCCTGGGGACGGATTTGTATCTGTTTATCTTCGTGCACCTTAATATGCTGTATTTGGTCAGATTTAGGGGGATTTGGTAGAATTCACAGTAATGTGTTAGAAGCATACATTACATCAGTGTCTAAAACCGCTGTCAGTGTGCGAAGTGTCACATCTATTTAATAATACTCTGACATCTTTCACACGAGAAATCAAAGATTTTGGGATTCTCTATTCGTATACCAGAGCTTTCATTAATTATAGGTGTTTGCAATTGCCAAATGTAAGCAATAAGAAGGTGAAATAATTAATTTAATTAATTAAATCTCTATTTTATTTTTTTTAATTTAAAAAAAAACCACACAAGCACACACAAATATACACATGCATACACACACATGTCTATAAAAGTTGAGATAAGAAGTCTTTTGTTTGTGGATTCCTAATAGTTTTGGATTAGCCCCCATTCTGGTCATCTTGCCTATCTGTAGGATGTGCCCTGGGAGCAGCTGCACTAACTAAGCCTCAACTTTGGGGTAGGGTTCTTTCCTATAAATTCACAGGGATCCAGCTCGAGGCCAATATTTCAATTTGACAGGCGGATCCATCTCTAATTGTAATACCCTAATTATCACATTCATAGAAACGAGCCTAATAGTTCTCTGAAACAGATTTTAAGTGAGGGGCGAGAGAGACCAGACTCTAAGAAGCTGTTTATTCAATGTAGCTGAATATGTGAATGGGCAAATGTGCAAAATATTAGCCAATTTACTCTTTCTATGCCAGACTTTGTTTTTAATGGTATTGTCCAACTATTTGTGGCAGCGAAACTGTTAATATTTCCCAGCGAAATAACTAGTATATCAACCTTTTCATATAGACATGCAGGGGTTCATTCTCTAAACTGTGAATTACAATAAATTAAGGGCGAAAAGTTTGGACTGCATTGTAAAAAAATTGGAATTTGAAAAAAAATAATCTTCAAGTGAGCTATAGTCACAAATTGGCTATGTTGGCCTGCATATTGGAGATCACTTTTATTTCGACAGAATTCGCTGTTTAGTGAATATCAATCTTCTGTCCTTACACTTGTTTTGCAAGGTTATAGATATAGTATGTATTTTGTTCAAAAAGCGTGTGATATACAAACTTTTCTCAATTGGTTTGTGTTAATGAGAATCACTTTAATAAGTTTATAGACAGTTGCGGGGTATATTATCAGAATGTGTTAAAAACAAGCACTTTGCTAAATGCACCAAAAACAAATTTTATAATTATTGGAATTAACGCAACAGAAAACCTTTATAGTCATCAAAACATTCATTACAAATAAATTCGGTTACAATGCAATCTTCATTTTCACTGGTTTTATAAGCACTAGTGCTTATCAATAAATAAAGATGTAAAAAAAAAAAAAATGCAAAAAGTGCTGTTTTTTTCCATTACAGCTGCCACTTATGGTTTTTAAAAAAAAAACCCCATAAAGATTAAATAAATAAAACCAAATAATTATAAGATAAATTTAATGTAGTGTAATGTGATGTTTTGGTAACTTTATCTCTAATTTGCAAGCTTGTGTTTGGAGGCCCAGTGCAGGCAGTCTAGCAGGTAGTTGGGGGAGGGTCGGAACAGCCAGGGGGTGATAGGGGAGTGAATAGACCTATGTGATTGACAGATTTAGCCTCCCCCAAACTTTCTTTTCTCTGGCAAAGGCTTAATGTTTCCATGGCAAACGGAT